ACTTTAAAGTTCTGATGCTGGTCTATAAAGCTCTGAATGGTTTAGGACCAAAATACATCAGTGACCTCCTGACCCAGTATGAACCTTCCAGATCCCTCAGGTCATCTGGATCCGGTCTTTTATCAGTTGCATTCAGCATTCAGCTTTTATGCTCCATATATCTGGAACAAACTCCCAGAAAGCCTCAGATCAGCTGAAACACTCAGTTTATTTAAATCCAGGTTGAAGACTCACTTATTCTCAGCTGCATTTAAATAAAGCACCAAATCCGCACTTAAACTTAAATTTCAAAACTCACATTTTAACTACTGATTTTATCTACTTTTCTGATTTTATCTGTTTTGATTTTATATACTGTTTTGTTTGTTTGTTTGTTAGTTAGTCAGTTAGTTAGCTTGTTTTAATCAATTTTAAATCATGCTTTTTATTTGTTTTTGTTTCTAATGTCTCTGTAAAGCACTTTAAATCACCCTGTTGTTGAATTGTGCTATACAAATAAACTCGCCTTGCCTTACATCCCTGCACGTAAAGTTGATAGTTTCAGCAATCACCCTCCAGGAATTTGCTGACAATTCCTATATTGATTTTATTGTCCCTTAAATTGACATGATAATTGTTATCCTCTCACTAATAAATTCAAGTTTGCAGTTAAGACGTAGCTACGGCGTAGATTCCCCACTAAAGAATAAATCCACAGTAAGCCTTACCTGGGTCATCTTATCCACAGAGACGGGGATGCCATCAATTGTGAGCGGGGGCAGCTCTGAGGCGAGTTCTCCACCTGCAGGGGCATGTTCAGCCAGGGCGTTCTCCAGGTCCTCCAACAACATGCTCTTATACTTTCTTACCTAGTATCCATGAAAGATACATCACAGTGTGTCAGCCTGAGCTTTTAAGAGTGATAGCAGGTTTAAAAAAAAAAATCACTGAAGAAAACATTTGCTAGTAGATACCTGGACAAAGATAAGTAACTGCATGCCTTTTTTGGTTATGTTATTAAGACAAAATCAATATGGCCTTTAATAAATTATTATTAGCTATAAAATGAGTATTTTTAATACATAAATAGTTTTTAGGAAGAAAGATGTAAAGCAGATTCAGTTTATCTAACATGCAGTGTATACTTATGACAAGGGAAACACTGCATACGCATGAATGACTGAGAGGGCTTCACTGAAATAATTGAAGAAGAACACTGAGGTTTGGTGTGATGGTAAGTTTCACTGTGTTACAAACTAATGCTTTCTACCTGCTCTATTTATAAGACTTACCACATTCTCCAGAGGAGCAGCACCAAACACCTTGAACACAGGGTTGGGTTTGGAGGGGGAGATGCACAACACTATGGCTTGTTGGCCCACTCTAGTGGTGTACTCATCCAACGTGGCTCGCAGTTTCCTGTTAACAAACACCATCCTTTACTTCTGTGTTCAGATTAAAAGCTACGAAGCACAACAACAATTCTACCCTAGGAGCTGAGCGAGGGATATTTTGGTCACCGTAGCTGCTGACAGAAAAGCTATTAGATCCACCTGAGCAGACGAGTCTGCTGTCTCTTACGGATGGAAGGGTTGGATTCAAAGATATGAGGCCTTTTTCTTTTCTTCCCAGTTGCCACAGCAGCAGCTGCTGCCATACCCACTGGCCCTGAAAGAAAGAGGAGGAGAGATTTTACCAAAGGTAAAAAGAGACAAAGTATTTTCCTTCTCTGATTTGAGCTTTTAAAGCCCATGTGGTTGTTACTGTTTATTGTTCGTTCTCTTTTTTTAATATAAAATATGTTTTTAAAAAGACCTGAAATAGCACTTCAAACATGGCAGAGGCTTGACAAAGGCAACACTGCCTACACAACTAATCCACTGGCGCCACCTGTTGCTCAATTGAAAGCATTTTGCTTAAATTATGGCGTTATGGGATTTACCAGGCTTGTATAATTAATCAAAGCTGCTAAGAAGAATAAAAAAATAAACAAAAAAATGTCTGTTGTAAGGAGTTGACCATCTAATTTGCCACAAACTTTGCAACCTTAATAACAATTATCAACATAAGTCTACAGGTCGTGAAGTACTTCTGCTTGTTGCTGCTGCTTTAGACTCACCTGCAGCAGCCAGGTGAGCTGTGACCTCATCAGTGCCAGCCGAGTTGAGGATGTCTGTGTCATCATAAGGATCGTCATCTGGCGAGGAGGTCGAGTCTTCCTCAGCGCTCATCATGGATGTGTCAGTCAAGGTGGTCACATGTACCTATACACGAATCAATGAATGAATGAACCTGGGACTCGCACTTTAGTGGGGCGTTAAGATCTCTGATCTTTAACAAGATGAATGATTAATATCAGTAAATTTGTTTCTAATTTACACCATTTATTATGTTTGTAAATGCACCTGCTGGCTGACAGCGCTAGCCTCAATGGTGGTCATGTGCTCTGTCTGGTGAACGGAGTGCTCATCCATTATCAGCCAGCTGGTCTACACAGCTAGGTCCACAGTACAGTTACTGAGGAAAGAAAGAGGGAAGTGATCAAAGTACATCAAATTTAACGAATAATGATATGTTATCCTAACAAGACAATATGCTGATATTTATTTATACACTTAAATGAATTCATATGCACCAAGAATTTGGAAGTGTTACGATATTTCAGACAAAACTGTGACCATGCACAGCTGCCACTGTCATTTATTTTTACAGGGAGAGTTGTCTGATGAAGATGCTGTGGTGTCTTTGTGTTTGTGCTTAGTGCACCACTACCGCTCTGCCTCCAGAGGACGTCATACTGCATTAATAGGGAATTTCATTTGGAAGAGTATTGTCTGAAAAGAACGTTTCATTTTTTTCACTCTTGTCTGACTGTACCACTTTCATTCTGCCCATAGAGGGCACTTATGTTAGGTGTTACAGGTGATGAATTCGGAAGATGTGCATCCACCCAGTAATAGATAGCTTAGCACAACTTAGATACAAATCACAATTTAATGTCCAACTAAAGGGTCTTTAAAATTGTTGTCACAGTATGGTTAACTCCATATTAATTTGGAAAACTGGATATGTGAGTATGTGGAGTTACACTGTAGTGTGGCTGAGGAAAAATAAACATATATTGCACACCAACACTGTGTGTGTTGGTGTGCAATATATGTTTATGTTCACTCCAAATCAATCAACTTACAGCGGCTAAAAGGTTTATGAATAAAAGAAAGGAGACAGTTTCATGTAGATAACCTGCTTCATTGATACAGTGCAAAGATGATTTATAGAATAGTTTTATAATCATGTATCTGCACACACTGTTTTAACTTTTACAGTGGCCTACAAGAACGTCAATACTGCCCCCCCCCCACCAAAATAAGAAATAAAATAAAATAAATAAATACATAAATAAATAAAACTGAAATTCAGGTCATTCATTTCAGTCTAATATATTTATTGTCAGCTGCAGTACATGAAGTCTAGACACTGAGGAGATCAGTGATGCACGAAACGCACAACTCCACAAGAATGTGTATGTGTAACCAATTTAGTGACCTGCAACCAGCTTAATTTTGCACAGCACCGGATAAAGAATTGATCGTGCCAGACACTAGTGTACAGTTAGCCGGATCTGCCGGTCTACTGTCAACGACTGCTTCACTGAGCTAAGCTAGCAATGCCCTACATTCAGCTAATTAGCTGCCTAGCTAACCATTTGGCGGTATAAAGCCGGTCGTCTAAAATAACACGAATTCTGCCAACAATTTTCCACGTTCAGACACTAAACAAAGCGATTACAGGGCGCAGTGAAAGCCATCGTAATGCAGCAGCTAGCACGAAACCCGCGCAAAAGAAATCACACAAAAACATAGCGCTATAACAGGCCCGGGCCTGTGGGCTCATCCTCAGCTATTCTTCTCTCTCCGAGGTTGAAGTCGATACGCGCCTAGATCACGATTCCCCCCAAAAACAGATTTAAAATACAATCCGACTCCAGTCAACATCTAAACAATCTGCATCGTTCACCCCAACGCTGCCGGGTTCGATGATGCGGCTGCGCCGGGGCTGAAATAGATGGAGATTGCGCGGTAGGGCACTAACCTCAGAGCGGCTGCGCTACTTCGGGCCTGCGCCGTACAGCGGGGATGGAGCCGAGCTTTAATGGAGGACAGAGGGGAGCCAGCACCAAACACAACTAACAGACCGCACACAACAGTGAACTGCACTAGTGATGCTTTCAAGTGCCTGCCGCGCAATCGTAACAGTAATACACAAGAACTGAAACTACAATAACAAACGTGCACATAAATACTTCGTAGACATTGTTTCATTGTTTTCTTTAAACTGATTCTAGTTAATAACTCATTGACGATGTGTCAACATGACATAAATATTAAACATATCTTCACTTTTTATTATGTCAGTTTTTAAATTCTCGATTTTTTTAATGAACCCCTACAAAACTATTGAAAATAAACACGTACTATATTCAGAGCCTTTATTATGTTTTTTGGTGAGGGAAAAGTAATTAAAAATGAATGAGAGCATGTAAATATGAAACATAAAGTTTATCTTAGTAAATAAAAGATCAAACTAAGTAGTTTTTGGTGATTTTCCACGTTTAGAAAACCTGGACGTCACTAAATGTCCAGTTTAATATAACACGGACCCTTTTTCATTGCGATGAAGCCCATAGCTTACGATTCTGCAATGAAAACTAACTTTTCCTGTACTCATTGAACGCCACATAAGACCTGTCGAACCACGCCCCTTTCTATTCAACGGCGGCAGGCGCCAGAAGATGGTCGTTATTCAAAAGTGGTCTAATCCGGTTTGGCAACAAACAAACACGAAACCACAAAAAATTAAAGTATCTTTATTTTGTGTTAATAAAAGCTACTCCCGTACTCAGACCCCATCATTACCAAGTAGAAAAAAAACAACCCACCCAAAACGAACAGAACCCCCCCCAACAACAATAGGCTAGACCAAACCAAGATTTCCATTTACTGTAATTAGCAACTCCTGTGGTCCTGTGTCAGAGATGCCAGGCTGCTTTCTGTAATGAACATAGATTCTTCGAAGAGGTTAGTTGACTAAGCTGTTACGTGTTCATTTTCTCGTGTTTATTTATTTCCCTAATAATACACAACTAATTTGCACAACTTTAATTATGAGACTCATGCAAAGTTTTACGCGGAAACATAGCAAGATTGGGCAGTAGCTGAAGGATAGCATTTGAACCGGTTAACACAGATGACAGAAAATCATCAACCCAGATCAGTGATTAAAATCGAAGAAAATTTGAATTCAGATTACACTGTCAAGAGTTTTGCTATGCCGATTTTAAAATAGTGAAATATTTTCATAGTATCAGTTAAGTCATGTCTATCAGATTACTGCCTTGCTTAATAGTTAGCAATTTTTAAAAATAGATAATTACGTTTAATATAGTATTATATGTGTAATAAAATGGAAGATATGCATCATAATATTGTAAAACGGCAACAACAAAAACTTAAAAGAAACATGAACCTATAAGATGCACGCTACAGGGTAAACATGCAGCTTTTTGTATTTTATTTGTTAGAAATCTTTTATTAATTTGAATTAAAGCATTTTTGTGCAACTCAAAAATAAAGTTAAAAATTAATTAGGTTTCTTTGTTGTTTTTAATACCAACCATTCAGTGCTTCTGAGCTTTCTGCAGCGTTCTCTGTATTGGTGGCAGATATTAAAATGAAGTTTAAGATACTGCAACCCTGAACACAGTTGGTATCTTAAACACCTGGTGGGAGAGTGAGCTACACGGATAAAGAGGCACGTTTCTCGTGCACTTATATTTAATTTCATACGTCCTCATGGGGGCAGTGTTGCATTACAAATCAGTCATGGAGCTGAGCTCTTCAAGTTTGTTGTAACAGGAGATGGCAGTAGGGCATCATTGATACGGCTCTCTGCAGGTGCCCTGGCATGTATTCAAGATGATGGATGTTTTACATTAGTGTGTGATGACAGCAGCTTATGTTTGTGTCTCACTAAATGTCAGCAAGTATCATATTAAAAAATCTGGCAGGAGAGCTGCAGAGTGTGATCCTGCGTTTTACAGCTTCCATACTGTGTAGCTGACCTTCAATCCTCGCTGTCTCACTGTCATCCCTCTCTGTCTTACTTTGCTTTCTACAGACAGACATGTGTTTTCATTGTTTCCTAAAGCTTCACAATGGATCTTTATATAGAAAGAAAAAGTGTGTGTGTTTTCTTTGCTGTTCCACACAACATGCGTTGAAATTTTAAGAAGAATTTGTTGGATTTTCTTTGTAAAAAAGTCAACCTTTAGCTATATTGTTTGCCTGGACTTTTATTCAGTTTTCTGACTCAGGACGTCATTTAAACATATTTTTTTGTGGTAACTAACTTGCACTCTGGTGCATAGATCATTTTAGCAGAGTCATAACTGCTCACAAATTATTTTTATGCCATTCACAGAAGTTGTTTCTCAAGGGCACTGCAGTGTGAAGTAATATCCTTTAGATAGGTGATGATGTCACATAGATGGACTGAAAAGCTGGAGAATGTAGAAGAAGCAAGGTGCTATTATTTGGCCCTATTCTACTTTCTCTATCATGGGCTATGGTTGGGTATAGATAAGGTTTACAGCCTGGGGGTCTGGAATCAATAATGGATGTAATTGGTGAGCTGGAAGTGAGGATAATTGAAGGTAATTGTGTGGACCGTCACCAGCTTTGTCGAGAGGTCAAGTTATCGAAGACGAGAAGATGGCGGGGATGGCAAATCACTCTCTCTCCCCTAGACCACCTACTGTATACCTATTGTTTACAGCATTACTTAGTAATAACAGCCTTGCATTTTATTGACTTTCTTTTTCAAAGCTGAAACAATAGTTCCAAGAATAAGGTGTTCGTCTTCACGTAAGTTGTTATATTTGCTCAGAAAAAGCTATATGACCTTGTAGTAAACTAGATCTTTTGCATCTTTTGGTGTAAAGGTACAATTTACAAATGTTAGATTTTAAGGTTGTGCTGTTTGTAGTGGACGCTTTACAAGCACGTTGTTACCATTCATACTCTCAACTCTGTATAATGTCAAACAGATCAGATATTTCCTTGTATCAGCAGCCTCACCCTTCTGCTGTTCAAACTTTCTGTTTATGAGGGGGACCCAATTAGAAGAAAGTTGGCTTGAAGTTACAGTAACCTGTTTCAGACACTGCATAGCCTGAGGGGCTGCATCAACGCCTAGTATAAGATGATTTTCATTTCTACTTGACTGGATTGCTGCAACGTCCTTTTTGCAGGGCTTCCTAAAACAACTTTCAGTAAGCTGTAGCTTATTCAGAAGTCTGCTGCAAGGGCATTAATGAAAACCAATAACAGATACTGGCTTCCAGAATCCTACAGAATTGATTTAAAAATATTTTATTTATATAAACAAATCTTAAATGGTCTGACAGTTAATCACTTTACATCCGAGTTTGCCTTCTTAGATCTTCCACTGCCAAACTGTTAGCTACGCAGTACTCCTCACAGAAAAAAATTGGGGATGCAGCTTTTGCTCTGAAACAGCCTCTCCCTCAAAATATTAGAGAAGTAGACTCTACCGCCAATTTCAAGAAACTGTTAAAAACACGCTTTAAATCTGGTATTCAGTATTTCCACTTAATAATAATACCACTGTCAGTTCTGGTGCGACTCCATTCAGTAGTCTGGGAGATACGGCGCATAGTTCTTCTACTTCTAAGTTTGCTTCTTCATTATATTTTTCCTTGTTTTTTTTTGTGGGACTTTATGTATTATTTATTTTTATGTATGAGCTGTTTATAAACTCGTGGGTGTGCATATATGCATTTTTAATGGGTTGTTCATTTGTTAAATATCTCTTTTAATATATTTATCAACCTCCTTAACCCCCAGAAAAGCCCTTTGAACCCATACATGTTATATTGGGCTATACAAATAATTGAAGTGGAATCATGTTTATTTTGAACTGTGAATCATAAAAAGACACGGTACTAGAGTGCAAAGATAAAGAATGGAAATTCTGGAAAACAGCATAATAGATATCAGTCTTTTAAATTTTTATCTGGAAGAAAATTGTGCAGCCACTTCATTTAGTCACTCGATATGTGCATGTTGTTTTCAGTTCTTTGTCAGTACAACCAGTGCAGTTGTAATGCTGGCCCATAAAGCAGTGAACTGATGCACTATTTTGGCAGCCTTCATTAAGAATATGGTGTAAAATGGTGTAAATGTTTAATTTAAAAATGTCTGCTAGTCAATATAATTCAAGAATCACAGTGCAAAAACGTATGGCCAGTGCATATGTAGATGCTCAGAGTAACTGGTATGCTCTGAGTCTCTTTGGCATTGTGTATTGGACTAAAGCAACTCATAGAATATTAATTAAATTCTCTCATAGATTCTTTTCTCCCAGTGAACTTTCCAGGGGCAGAGAAGTGTTTTAAAGGTGAAATGTTTTCTATGGTCAGCAGGGGGCACTGCAGTACTGTGCATTAACTCAAATCTCAACCTCTGCAAAAACTTGACTGCTGCTCTGCAGAGTCATGGCCACTGAATGATATGACACTTTCATTCATATTTCACTCTAAGAACATTCAGCGATTACTCCCATCTTATAGCTTGGAGTAAAAGGATTCCAAGATCTGCACTCTCTTATCTTTCTGTAGATTATATCTGCTTTAACACCGTAGCATTTTACAGTCCAATTGGTGTTCTGTTTCAGATAATGCATTTTTGTTTTGAGTTGTCATTAGTGATAGATAAATGAAGGAATGTATTGTGTACTCAATGTAAAAAATAACATTATTGTAGTTCTGCTCTTCTTTGACAATGCAATGTTCAGTATAGACTTCCTGTTAATTTTTTTCTTAGTTTAAAAAAACAAACCAATATTTTTATGTAAATAAGATTTACATTTTCATTGTAGGTTATAGTCCCTTAACGTACTTAAAGATCCTGTTGAATGCATACTGTAGATACCATTTAACAGCTTTACAGTATTTGTAAGCATCACTTGTGCAGCTGTAAAAGTTTAAATTCTGAAAAAAGGTGTCTTGTACCAACTCTGGATGTACTTACTTTAATATATTATAACTAGTTTAGTCAGAATGGCAGAAATAAGCCTCCTCCCAAGGGTGGCTGGGCTCTCCCTTGGAGAAAGGGTGAAGAGTTCAGTCATTCAGGAGGGACTCGGACTAGAGCTGCTATTCTCCCACCTCAAAAGGAGCCAGTTCAGATTTTTTTGGGCATCTGACTAGGATGCCTTCTGGACACCTCCTAGTGAAGGTATTTGGGGCATGTCCTACCGGGAAGAGGCTGCAGGGCAGACCCAGGACACGCTACAGAGATGATGTCTCTCGGCTGGCTTGGGATCGTCTTGGTGTGCCCCTAGATGAACTGGAGGAGGTGGCCAGTGTTACGTCCCCTGGCTAGTCTAGGGGGTGAAGGGATGAACATAAAGGTGGATAGTGAAGGAGGAGCCAAGATGGTAACTTTAAAAGGTTTATTTAATGCTGGTGATGAGATTTGGGTTCAGACTGAGGTATAACTTCAGGGAGAGCCAAGGCCAACATAACAAACAAAACATCCCTGATGTAAAAATAAAAGAAACTTACCTAACTCCAAAGAAAACAAAATATACAACCTATAACCATAACCTACCTAACAACACATAAACAGGAGAAAACGGGATGTCAAAACAAAAGGCAGCTCTCCCCTACAAGCAGTCTGAACATGAAAACAAAAATGCACATACAAGTCACAAAGGCATGCAAGCCTGCACAGGTATGGCAATCAAAATGGTCAGAGGGCACAGAAACACAGCTCCACAGGCCTTAAGTAGTGCTCCGCTGATTAACAATTATCTGAGCAGCATCCAATCAGGACAGAGGAGGTGGAGCCTAGACAAAACAAAGAGTTAGTAGGGAGAAGAGACATCCTCCTGGGGGATGTAACACCAGGAAGAGAGGGAGTGCTGGGTTTTTCTGTTTAGACCCGGATAAGTGGTAGAAGATGAATTGATTGGTAGCTTAGTTAAATTAATGTTAGCATATGAAGTAGCATAATTGCAGAAATCTCAGGCCTTTTTAAAAAATGTTTTTTTTCTTAGAACTGTCTTAGAGCCTACAAAGAATATGTAAACATTTCAAAGTGAACACAAGAAATCCAACAGGAGCAGTGGTTGTGTTGACAAACAAAAACTTGAAAAATTTTAGGTGCATTTATACGGCATCAGTCATTTGCTTTGATGTTGCAGCCAAAGGTTTCCAGGTGATCACACAACTTCACAGTCCTCCTGTCATTGGTTGGCTCAGAGGTACAGTAGCTGCTCTAGGATTCCTTCTTGTAGTTCCGACTCCCTGGGGGAGCCGCTGAAGGATGTTGTCAGTGATGAATACTCTCTGTAATCTAACGGGATATTAGAGTGGAAGTGCTCAACATTCAGCTGGAGGGAAAGGGGAACAGAGGGAGAACATTTACACAATCTTATATACATGGAAACCATGAAGGGACTTGGTATTGATTATATGTTTTGACTCTAGTATTTCTGTTTTTGCTTTCTACATGTTTCAGTCTTACTTTAATCATCTTTCCTCCACCCTCCCTTCACTGTTTCTTGTACTATGTATTTTGATTACAAGAATTATTCTCAAAACAAAGTTGGGGCAAGTATTTGAAAAAGAGCAATTACTACTTTATATAACTTTGGAAGACATCAGGTGTATTTTCACTACAAATAATCAAGCCAAGACTTTGCCTTTATTCTTCAGGCACAACTTGTTGTTAGACGAAACTGGAGTATGGAGAAGATCATCATCAAGGCAGGAAAAAACAAGCAGTAAATGTAAAGGCAAGAGGCTGAACTATCAGTAGACTGTCTCTCAAGTGTCTATTTCCTTCTCCCTTCACAATGTGTTCCCATGCTTAATTGGAAATGTAGTGTAGGTAATGAACCCATTTATAGACTCATTACAATATTCTGTGCTAGCAAAAGGTATTGTGCTGAGACACAGGACAAGAGCTGTGGAGAGGAGAGATTAGAATGGAAAGAAGTGAATACATGAAGGACATTCATAGATGGGAAAATATGAGACTAAATATTTTGACATTTAAAAAGAAGGGTATCTCACAGGTGTACTTTTGTGTCTTTGTGCGTCCTGATTGTTGTGATCAAGATAATTGGGAACCTGTCACCTTGTGTTGTACAGTGAATGCTTGCTGAGAAACATGGAGATATAGCCATGTTGCCCCATGTCATACAAACTCAGTTTTTTGGATTGTAAGATTCAACACCACCACGAAAAATTGTAACTTTTAGAGCAGATCAGCCTTATAGCAGTAACTGGTAGCGATCAGAAAAGGTGAAATCGATGAGAAAAAGAGAAGAAATATGCAAGGGTTTATCTCCACTCCTCACTCTGTGCTATACTTGGCTTAGTTTGCTCTTGCTGGGAGTTACAAGGTCAGATTATCAACACTGTCATCTTTTATCATCAGTATTCCAGCACCTATGCTGGTTGGATCCTGACTAGCCAAAAAAACATGTCTAGGAGAAAGTAATGGGGACAGAAGGGTACACATATAATATATTTTTTTTTGAGCATTCATTCATAGCTTATTTTAGTAAATACTATCTCACAGTCTTTGTGATACCTCTCATCACATTTGCATCAACACAAGAGTATACTAAACTTTACTGTTATGTTTCATCCCAGCCAGCTAAATTTTCACATAAGTGCTCACTAAGCCTCAGCGTAGTTGAAATTCTGTTTGCACAATGTTTGAGAAAATTCTATTAGTTACAAGCTGTGTACTAGAACTACGACCTTAACTCGTGATGATGAAGATGAAATACAAAGCAGAGTAATGGATTCACCTGCCATTTCCTGTTTTAAATCAAATAACCCATGGTTAAATGCTTGGGAGAAGTGCATATTTTGATGCCAGCGACTCACTCTGTCATACTTAATGGCACAATGTTTTCTCTTTGACTTAATGAGCTTCATTAAGGTCTGACTCACTAGTCTTCTGAAATTTTTTTTTCTTCTTCCCCCATCTTATGCTAATTCAGTAACAGGAATTGCTGTTTTCATGCTGGGTAAAGTGCTACAGTGCACATCACTTCTTTGCTGATCTCTTACTTGACCTGTTGTCTACATAGTGCGTCTTGTCCATGTGCAGGGTTATGAGTACCCATTATTCAGTAGCTTGTAGAACCACCTTTAGCAACAATAACTCAACGTAATGGTTTTCCATATAACTTGATCAGTCTCACACATCATTGTGGAAAAATTTTGGCCCACTCCTTTCCATATTTATTAAGTTATTTGAAGCTTGGCATTGACTTATGCACAGCTCTCTTGTCCCACCACTGCAATTAATCAGGTCGAGGTCTGGACTTTGACTTGGCCATTGCAAGTGGGATCATTGGGATCATTCTGCTGTTGCAGTATAGTTGTCCATTAACCCACTTAAATCTGTGATTGTACAGAATTTTTTGTTTTAATAGTACCATTTTTTTTTTTTTGCGTGTGTGTGTGTGTGTTTAAAAACACCCAATCCACATGCATTATATTTATTTACCGATGAAACACTAAGAAGAATGGGCTGGGGTATTGTCATGTGATTATAAGGCCAACTGGACAGTTACCAGTGTCAAACCTAGGTATGTTTGGTACTTTTCAAATGCTTTAGTTCTTTCATAGTGTATGTTTGTAACACTGGATGAGAAAAACTCAAATAATCATCCTGAATTTGCACTCTATCAAACATATCTAGATTTGACATTGGCAACCCCCCATTTTGGCCTTGTATCACATAACCATATGGGCAAAATGGGGGGTTCATTGGTGGATAAATGTACTGCATGCAGACAATTGAATGGGTTTGTCTGCATGCAGTTGTGCAATTTTTCTTTTTTTCCGTGCAATTGGAGTGGATTAGTGGATAGGTATACTCGGTGTATAAAGCAACCCTCCAAAAAAAGTCATATTAGTTCATTTTTTTTGTTGTACTGTCATGAACTTTAACATTTAACATGCTAAATGAGGCCCATAGA